TCCTGCACAGTTATAAAAATAATATGAAATAATAAACAATAACTAAATAAAATATAATATGGAATTGTCTTGTGCCTTAATACAAATGCCATAAGTGCCTAAAATGTAATGTGCTTTTTTATATTGTATAATACAATATTACATTTTTTATATATATAAATAGTGATAAAAATATTGAAAAATCAATTGTAACGTGAGTTATCTGATAAATAAGTTTAATTTAAACATACGTGTATTAAATATAGAATATTTAATACTTAACTTCAACAAATATTATAGCAAAAAAATATAAAAACAATCTCAAATTGATAAATAAAGTTTTAAATGGAATTAAAATCACGCAGGTGCGAAGTTACCTCTTAATTTTCTTCTTTGTTCTTCTGGACCAAGCTTGCAAGAGTACAACCGCTGCTTTCCTTTTCAAATAAACCTGCCGTTTCTTGAATTTTGTTCTTTGGTAATTATATTTAAAAAAAAATCACTTTTTAATTTCCTCATTCTTTCTTAGTTGCTTTCATAGTAGGTACTATTATACATTTAAATTATATTACTTCATGTTCATTATACTTTTTATATTTCAGTCAGCTTCTGTACAATTATTATTGTGGCCTCTTCTTTTATTCATATTTATTTATTTTTCGTCACATCCGGTATTGCGTCCATTCTGTTATATTATAATTTTCTTTTTAAATGGTCAATCCATGATGATTTCCATTTTTTTTTGTAAATTTTTTTCTCTTTATGAAGGCTGGGCGGTGCGCGTGCAATGTAGCAGCGCACCGCATGGCAGGGTCGCCATGTAATATAGGAAGTGTGTCAATGAGAAGAGGCGTGTTGCTGCTTCTATAACTTTAATTATAATGATCTTATTCTACCTTAACACTAATATATATATATAGTCGCGGGGGCTATACTACACTACATCCTAAAGATTTTGGCGTAACTAATATAATTAGATTTATTTCATCTTTTATTTGCTGCTGAAATTTTAAAATACAGCTTTCTTTTTACTACGCAAGATTTTATTATACCTTTTGAAAGCCAATAGTTTTTATTATTTCTTAAGGAAATCTTAATAAATTTGTTTGGATAACACAGGTCAAAGAACAGTTTGTAAATACTATGAAAACTTGAAAATGCTTTTGGATACAAAAGGATATTGCTTTTACACATTCAAAGAACTTTTCTATGTTATCTTTCGTAGTCTCTGTTTTCTTCAAGCCAGTATTTTACTTACTTTTATAGGACGCTCCAGTATTTGTCCTATATATGGATACTACACATTTGCCACTCAAGATGCAAGTCCACTTTTAGTAGGTCCGTTATTCTAGATATTTACTCTGTTCTCCACACATATGCTTTTATTTTGTAATATATACATATATATATCATCATCATCATTTCTTTCACAGTCTTTCACAAGTCCATTGCTGAACATAGGCCTCCCCAAGGAATGCCACAAAGCACGGTCCTGAGCCACCTGCATCCATCGACATCCTGCATGTCTTACCAGGTCGTCACTCCATCTAGTGCGGGGGTCGCTCTACACTTCGCCTACCGGTACGAGGCTGCCACTCGAGAACCTTTCTTCCCCATCGATTGTCGGTTCTTCAAGCTATATGGCCGGCCCATTGCCACTTCAGCTTACTAATCCGTTGGGCTATGTCGGTTACTCTGGTTCTACTGCGGATATCCTCATTTCTAAGTTCCCTCCCCATAGCTCACTGAGCGACCTTGAGCTTCCTCATACGGCCAGCAGTGAAGGACCACGTCTCAGATCCGTAAGTCATCACTGGCAACACGCATTGGTTGTACGATTTCGTTTTCAGGTTCAGGTTGAGGTATGTCTAACGAGAAGATGTGTCGTAGTTTCCCGAACGCTTCCCAGCCGAGTTGAATCCGTAGATTGACCTCTCGGTTGAAGTTGGACTTACCTAGTCGGACTATTTGTCCCAGGTAACCATACTCGCCAACAACTTCGAGCTTAGTGTTCCTAACAACTACCGGCATAGGTGTGACATGGACGTTAAACATGATTTTTGTTTTGTCCATGTTCATCTTAAGACCTATCCGTTGAGAAACACTATTGAGGTCATTGAGTATAGTGCTTAGGTCCTCAAGCGATTCTGCCATAATATATTGTCGGCATATCGAAGGTGAGTGATGTACTCGCCATTGATGTTAATACTTTCCAGTCCAGTAGCTTCAAAACGTCTTCCAATGCAGCGGTGAAGAGTTTCGGGGATATAACGTCACCCTGACTTACACCTCTCTGCAGTTGGATAGGTTTCGTACTCTGATTCTGTACTCGGATAGCCATCGTAGCTCTACTGTACAAACACTTCAGCACTTCGATATACCGACAGTTAACTTGACACCGCTGAAGGGACTGCAGCACCGCCCAAATTTCGATAGAATCAAAGGCTTTCTCATAGTCCACATACGCAAGGCAAAGTGGCAGATTGTACTCCTCTGTCTTCTGTACAATTTGTCGAAGGGTGTGCATGTGGTCCATGGGCTTTTCGGAAGGGAAATCGGTGTAGTTCTTCTAGAGAGCGTTGTCGCCTTTCTTGAAGAACAAGACCACCACACTTCTGCTCCACGCCTCCGGAGTAGTGCCACCATTGAGGACGGAATTAAAGAGCTTCTGAAGGACTTCAAGTACCGGTTTTCCACCCGCTTTCAGAAGCTCCGCTGTAATTTCATCCTTGCCCGGAGACTTGCCGTTTTTAAGGTGCTAGAGAGCCATTCTGATCTCGCTCAGACTGACGTCCGGGATATCTTCGGAATAGTGTCGGATAAGACTCGCTCTTGGATCGCTACTCACACTTGCGTGTGGCTCCAACGATGACGTGTACAGCTGCCCATAGAACCTCTCAATCTCACTCAAAATCTCAGGTGTCCCGGAAACGATGCTGCCACATTCGGTCTTCAGCTTTGACAGTTGGCTCTTTCTGGCAGAGAGATCTCTGGCAAAGACTTTGGAGCCTTGGTTCCGCTCGATCGCTTCTTCAATACAAGCTGTATTGAAGTTGCGTAAGTCCCGCCGCATGCATTTGGAGATCTGTCTGTTCAGTTGCCTGTATGCTGTCAAATCTGTTGAAGAATGTAGCTTCATCTCCCGTCTAACAGCCATGAGATTAAGAGTGTGATCGGAGAGTTTTTGTGTTCTTCTGCGGCGGGTCTTGCAAAACTTAGCTCCGACGCATGGACAGTTTCCACGAGCTTGTCATTCATATCGTCCACTTCATTGCAGTCTTCTAGGCATTGAAAACGGTTGAGAACGAGCTGAAAGGTTTTTCGGGTATATATATCGATACAGTAAATTTTTAAAACATAATAATTATATTACATTTTACTCAATAATATTTTTAGACTTTTAGTCCAATTGTTTTTCTCTTTATTAGGTTTACCAACAATTGCTAACACTAACATATTAAATTAGTTCAATTACTTAAAAGTGCAAAAGTGCTACAATTACTTACAAGTAAACTCGGCATGCATATAACTATAAAAATACATAAACTGAAAAAACAATAAATTAATCCTAAACCAATAAAAAAATCTATTAGAAAGAATAGTGCTACATAACTTAAGAAAAAAAAACTTTACTCTATTTTACTTTACGCTTTTAACTTATGGCACGCCCACATACTATATAGAAACACTACGCCCTAACTTATTCTTTGGTCTTTGGGTTGATGTGGGTTGATGCGTCACATTGTAAAGTTCCAGGGAGTCTTTCCGACAGCTTTACTCAGCGGACACTTAATGACAATAATATCTCAAGGTCTGGTCTCTGAGCGGATAAAAAACCTGAGATTTATATCATCATCATCGAAGTACTTGTTACATCGTTTTTAATAATAGTACACATGCGCAGGTATTGAATACACTTTTACGTATTAAATTCTACTTCAAATCATTATTTATACTATAAACATAAATAAATATATATACACATATTGAGAGAAAGAGAGTGCATGGTATTGTCGGTGAGGGGTTAGACCATTCAACCAATGGAGCAAAAGGTCTAAGGTGAAGGGAAACATGCTAGTGCACAAATTTACTCGTTGTTCTGATGGCGTTAAACTTACACTTAGGTAACCCTTTTTACAACTAGGGTTTTAACAAAAGCAGTATGTCGACTAGTTTCACCCAAAAGTCGTGTTATGCCCTGAGTTTCAATTTTTTAACATCTTTAGGGTCCTTTTGGGGCCTGAGATGAGACCCCCAGAATTGTCCTAAGCAACGCCTCAGTCATGTTTAAGGTCGTGAACTTAGATGAATTGCACATAATCATGAAAAAAAAAACTGTTTCAATGATGCAGTGATTGCTTGGGAGTACCAGCTGAGACCCAAGTAGATACTAGATAGTATAGTCACTGCCGTCATGCCGTCAAGATTGATTCATAGATTACACGTTAAAAGACGCTTTATAAGTGTCGTGTGAGTCGATTACGGGCACTATCATTTGATTATAATATTCTAACTAAAAATATAAACCTCATACATTCCAATTACGCTGGTACTGTAATTCAAATTACAATACCAGCTGGTATTGTAATGGAAATTGCAAAACTCAAACTCAATTTTATTTCTTTTAATAATGGCAATGCGGGCAAGACCATAGACAAGCATTGTAGCGTCGTTCAGGCGGATGTTGTTTATGATCGACATTTTCCTTTGGGAATTGGATGTGGACAAAAATCTATTTTGTTCTATTTGATATTTGATATTTTAAATTTTATTGTTATTCCCTGTGTTTTAATAAAATACCTTGTATTATCCAAACACATACGCTTAGTTAGTGACGTATTAATGTGATTCTGGACGAAAAAGTTGTAAATTTTTTCGGTAGAATTATAGCGGGAAATCTCCGCTGTGACGCGCACAAACGTTGTTAATTTACAAAGTGGTCTGTTGAGGTGTTGCGAGAGGTTGTTATGTGGTTATCTACGCTCTGACATTGGATTTAAGTCGTATATTTAGAATTGACAATGTCAGACGAAATGGCGGTTGGTGATAACGCGACAAGTGATGAGAGTAAAGTAAACAGCGATGATACTGCGGAGGAGAATGTTAAAGGTGCTGGCGAAGCTAGTCCAAAGCCATCGAGTGAACCGCCTGAAACAGAGGAAGCAAAAGTTCCTATGGATGGTGAGTCTACTTTCACATAACCTTTAAATAATTGATGACATAAATTTTTTTATTTATACCATTATGTGATAATCATTATACATTGCAGTATATACACATAAGGAGTGTTCTGCCTCAGTGTCGAACATTATATATTGTAATTATCTCTGTTATTTTCTTCTAGCCTCTATATATATAGAATCATAAAAACATTAAAGGAAATAGATAAGGCGCTGAAGATGATTTACTAACAGAATTTGATATTATTATTGTGCATTATAAAGATGTCATTGCCCTTTAGCGAATTGCTGTCATTGCTGTCTGTGTTAAGATATTATGCCTAACATTATTAAATATTACTTATCAAGAAAATCTCAATATCGGATAAACTTTCCAATATGGACCATCGATTTAAATGCCCATATTTTTCTTGTAGATAGTACTCACTAAAAGAAAGCTTTTTGCAAAGTTTTAGGTTGCGGAAACTTACGGTTCATGAGATACATTTTTTTTTACTTTTCATACAAATTGGCAAATAACACGCAATTGCAAAATAAATTTGACAAATAATAATTGATGTCAAACATCAATCACTTCAAGGTTGTGCAAGTACTCATGGAGATGAAAAATTATGACAAACCATGTATCGATTCACAAAAGAATTGATTTCTAAAATATCGATGTTTTTCATGTTTGCATTTGTAATGTAAATAAATCTATTTTATGAAAAACAAGAAAGGTACCATAATAAATGATCTCTTATTGAAATTTGTTTTATTTTAACAGTACCTATTAGGACAGATAACAAATAAAATAGGTTAGGTTCAACTTATGTCAAAGAACTGAATTGATTGACCCTGACTCCACCTGGTACGAGTCTGTCCTACCCCTAGAGTGGTTTTATAGAGCCGGAGGTGAGTAGGGGAAGCAGCGTTTGCCTGCTGTAACAAATCGTAGGCATGGTACGAGCCGCAGCGGCTGAGGCTGGTCACCGAAGGCGACCAACAAACCGAAGCTGCAAAGGCGAGGAGGGATGCCTGCGATTTATTACGCAAAGGCGTAAAGGCTGCTCTTCCTGCAGCGCCGGAGACGTTGCAGTCTCAAAATAGATACAGAATTCCCTCTTAATCAGTCCCCCCTATTTTTTTTGATGAACGGGTTTTTTTTTCTCATAAAATGGATTAATATTTACATTATAAATGCAAACATGAAAAAATATCAAAGTTTTAGAAATTTGTGTATGGATACATCATCTTACGATTTGAATCGGTTTATAAATTCGATCTTTTTCGGAAAGAGTCGACATCCCTACTGACAATGACAATACAAAATAGCATCAGTTTTACGATAGGAATTGACATAAATATTGCAAAACTAGTTGATTTTTAATATTTTTTTTTCTTAAAAAGTATGCGTTTCCGCATGTTGTAACTTTGCGTGTGTGCTTATAATAATGTAACCTTTCTGTAAAAAAAATATGGGCATATAAATCGATAGTCCATATTGGAAAGTTTAACAGGACAGGACAGGGTTAAAGTACATAAGTGTTTAAACACAGGAAACGAAATGCTACACTTATCTTTTCAATCCTTAACGTTAGGAGGCCTTGTGAGAAATATTCATTAATTTTTACCCTAACAGATATACATTATCCCTATAAAATATATACATGAGTAAATAAAAAGTTTTAAGGAAGCTCAGTAACTCCACGCACTCTTAACTTTTAAATAGTCATCTAATTTTTCTTAGTTTAGTTTACGGCTATATTTTGCAACTCCATTACTAAGAGCATATTTTGCATGTGGGCAGGTATATTATGATTATTCGAGCCATGATTTATCCTCGAAGAAGTTCAGCAGTCCCTTGGTATTGCGAGCAACTTCAGGGAGTGATCTTGGCGCGCCGAGAAGTATAGCACTGTATGCAGTGACTTCCAGACATTTCTGCAATAAATGGGCCGCTGTGTCCTCTTCTCCCACCCTGCACAGGAACTGTCTGTAACACCTATGGTAAATAAATGTTTGTTAAAAAAGACATGGCTCTTTTAACAATCATTTATTTACCATAATAGCACTTGTTGCTGTCCCTGATCTCTGTGGCTTGTTTAATCTCATTAAGACCTTTGTTAAACAACTGTTTGTTGCTGGCAGGGCCTCCCTAGCTTGCTTTCATTCTTATAGATTTTTCAAAAGCTGAGCGTGTTAATTAGTGAAGTGATTAAATAACAGTGAACAAATGTTACCAAAAGGAATCGATATGATCGGTCCAGTCCTATGGCAGACAGAGCCAATCCTCCCCTGGTCAGTTTGTCTGCTGCGACATTGTCCCTGGATCCACTTTGTCCCTTGATCCATTGCAGTCACATTGTTGTATTTACATGCCTTATTTCGTTATTGAGGGCATTCATATACTAGTCCTGAGTTCACCACATTGTAACTCAGAACCTGTAGTACTACTATACTGTCGGTCTGGTTGATGGAGACGTCTTTTACCTTCCTGGCATCTATTGCAATGGCTGCTAGAATAATACCCATGCATTCAGCCTGAAAGACTGTTGTGGGTACCATTCTAGCCAACTAGTTTATAAAATCCTTTCTAAATAACTACTTTTTACATGTGCTTTGAATTTATGCAAATGCAAATCAGTAATATTGCAGGGAATCTTGTTACAAATAGTTATACATCTAACTAAAAATAATTTGTTTTCAATGGAATATGACATCATAATCATATCACCCGAGCCGAACATGTTGTAGTGTCGTACTTTCCTCCCTATTGGCGTAATATACTATTTCAATGGCTCTTCGTGATCCCTACAATAATAATCCATAGGAATTAATATTGTGGAAGTAGTTGAAATAAACCAATCTTGCTATATCCATTGTTAACAGTCTTATCGTTTTTACTGCATACACAGTGGAACTAAGTTTTCTTGGCAATGTTTCAATATAAAGTCCCCATTGTAATCGAAAGTCAATTGTTAATACAATTATATTAACAAGTAAAGTAGTACTTTTACCTTTAGAGAAATCATACTGACTACAAAATAGTTTAATTAATGGGGAATGACAATGACTGATTATAATTTTATTTTTCAAAAACTGCTAAGTACTGGTATGGATTATAGGTCTAAAATTAGTGGGTTCATTTTTACGATCACTTTTAAAATGGAGAATTTTGGAAAGTACCTAATGTTAATATATTTATAAGAATATTACTTAACTGCATTTAATAACAGTAGTTGAGACAATCCAAAAATCTTCAGTTTTTTAATATTATTAAAAGTTTTAATAATTATATCAATGTTAATGTGTTTGTTTTTTAAATTTGTAACTTTTAAGCCAATGAGAAAAATCAAATATGTCAAAATTTATATACTTGAAAAATAAACTTAGTTCCAAAACTTTGTCAGTTTTGTATATTTTGATGAACAAAGTTACACTTACACATTGTACTATATTGCAAAAGTTTTCCTTTGTTGTCTTATTAGATACCAAGATTGAATACCTTTATGAAGCTTGATATGAAGCCAATGAGTGCAAGCCAGATTGGTTGAGTATACCATGATTGGTTGTCCAATTAGTTGCCATTGTGCATCATTGGCATGTTATTGACCTTGTTTTGAAGTCTTTAATTATTACAGACAATATTAAACATACAAATAAGTGTATAAAAATTTAAAAATTATCTCTGGTTTTTTGGTTTGTAAAGAGGTACTGCCATGGCAATGGATACTTTATGTAACGTCATGTCTATATTGTGTTATAGGCTGTTACTTTTACTTTCATGTATGAGATTTGTTTTTTTTTATAGGATAAGGGTGACAAACGAGTACAGTCCACCTGATGGTAAGTGGTTGCTATGGCCCATAGACATCTACATCTATCTTTGATTAAGAATCAAAATGTAGATGTGTTGTCACCCGTGAGGACTAAGATGGAATGCCTCGTTTCCAGTAAAAAGGGTCTCCGGTTCTCTACACTCACCAAACAAAACACAGTAGCATTAGGCTGCTATTTTACGCTGGTATTCTGTGAGAGCGTGCTCCTACCCCGGTCGAGCCGACCCATTCGTGATATAACCATAATGTAGCTCCAGTGTGGCTCCCGCCCGCTACCGCGTTTTTTTAAAGCCAAGTATTCGGCAGAGTACTCGGCCTAGATTGGGCCCGGAATAATCCGGAGCTATGGGGAGGGAACTTAGAAATGAGGATATCCGCAGTAGAACCAGAGTAACCGACATAGCCCAATGGATTAGTAAGCTGAAGTGGCAATGGGCCGGCCATATAGCTCGAAGAACCGACAACCGATGGGGAAGAAAGGTTCTCGAGTGGCAGCCTCGTATCGGCAGGCGAAGTGTAGGGCGTCCCCCCACTAGATGGAGTGACGACCTGGTAAGATATGCAGGAAGTCGATGGATGCAGGTGGCTCAGGACCGTGCTTTGTGGCATTCTTTGGGGGAGGCCTATGTTCAGCAGTGGACTTGTGAAGGGCTGTAATGATGATAATGATGGCTCTACCACGTAAAAAACCACCAATGTGTGTTGCACCAATAATCTCACAAAATGTTTGAAATGATGAAAGTTAGCAAAGTATTTTAGTCTGCTGTGACTATTTATAGATATAATAAAATTGAAATAAGGCTATTATTGTACATTCAATTAAAATTTTATAGCAAGAGCAAAAAAAATGTTAAGTTTTATGCCATTAACTCTCTATACTAACTGCTGTGCCATTGGTTGGGCTATGAATATGATCTCTATGGAAAAACTACATATCATGTTGTGCAAACAAGTCAAGTTTGTTGCTTTGTGCACGAAAACAATTTTGAGAAAAATAATATTTCCAGAAATTAGGCTTAGCTATATCAATTTTTTGCCGCTTTAAATCTTGTAATGCAAATTTCATCAAAATTTTGCAGCTATTCTTGGGAACACAATTACAAAAAGCAAATAAATGTATAAATATTATTGCTTGTATATTAGTAACCATGTTTTGTCAAGCAATAAGGTATAAATTTTTATTTACAGATGCACCAGAAACTGAAACCGAAAATGAAGAAAAGCCAGATATTGAAAAAAAAGAAATTGAAGACATACCTGCACAAGAAATTGCAGAAGAAAAGTCAGACGAGGAGAAGCGGGGCATCAAACGTCGAGCATCTATTGCCTTTAGTGATACTGGAGATGAGGAGTTTAAGGGATTTGATAAAATAAATGATGAGAATTTTTATGGACTATACTACCGAGTATTAGGTGAGCTACCTTTATTAACATTTTTATCAAGGAACAACAAGAAAAGAGCAGTGGTAGTTCAAATGATTAGCGCTCCCTGTAAATTTTACAGTATGGGTTCGATCCGCGCAGCCACTAATGAAATTGTTAGTTGCAATTTTAAGTGCTGATTTACCACATGCTCGGTGGCGAAGGAAAACATTGTGAGGAAACCTGCATGCCTCAGAAATAAGAAAAAAATATTTCGAAGACGTGTGAAGTTCACCAACACGCATTGGTGCAGCGTGACGGACACTTCCTTGTCCTAAAACCCTCTCAGAAATGAGAGGAGGTCTGTGCCCAGCAGTGGGATGTGCATATAAGCTGTAACTTTAACAAGAAATTGAGGATAATCTTATTACCATCCCCTTAATATTTAAATAGTACCAAAATAGTAAATGTAAGTCTTATAAAATAGTTTATTAATTGGTTGGAGATAAAGTTACTGTTATAGTCTGTCAAAGTCAATCGCTGAAGATAGGTCTCCCTAATATATTGCCTAGGAAAAATATTTGTCATAGTTGTCATGTCTGACAGGTGAGTTGGCAACTGCAGTTTTTTATTTTGTAGTTGATAATAGGATGACGCTCCTGTTCAACTGCTGGTTTATTTCCCTCTATCGCCTCTTACGACACCCACAGGACAATTTGGGGTAGAGGATGTTTTTACTCCCACTAAAAGATGAAAATAAAATTAAATTGGATAAAATCCCAAAAATTAGTTTTATTCATCGTAAAATAAAGTATGTAATTACAACAATATATGTTAATATTTATGTCTTTGCTCATGGGGGGTATATTGCCATAGTCGCCACGCTTGGCGAGTGGGTTGGCAACCACAGTTTATTATTGCTTTTTGCTGTTATCAGAAAGATGCTGCTGAAGCTCAAGTTCGCTCGGCAAACTATTGAGAGGGCCATGCTCGGTTTTTCTCTGCGTGATAAAATTAGAAAGGAGAATATACCAGAGGAACCGACAGCCCAAAGGATTAGTAAACTGAAGTGGCAATGGGCCGGCCATATAGCTCGAAGAACTGACAACCGATGGGGAAAAAGATTCTCGAGTGGCAGCCTCATACAGGCAGGCGAAGTGTATGACGTCTCCCCACTAGATGGAGTGACGACCTGGTAAGACATGCAGGAAGTCAATGGATGCAGGTGGCTGGGACCGCTTTGTGGCATTCCCTGGGGAAGGCCTATGTTCAGCAGTGGACTTGTGAAGGGCTGTGATGATGATGATGATGATTATATATTAATAACTACAATGGATGTTGAAGATGTGTATAAAATTTAGTAACAATTTATTTATGATTTATTCTTCTCATAGAACGTTTGGAAGAGGAAGTACAAACGGCAATTAAAGATATTAAGCCCGTCAGGAGTTTTAAAGCTTCTCTAACAGCCTCTGTGCAGGCTAGCAAGAGGCCTCGACAGGACACAGGTATCTTATTTAATATACTAAAAAAAATCTTTATTTGTTTTGAACATTTGTTATTATTATACTGTGGAACAAGCATGTATGTGTATGCTATATTAGAGATAATGCATACAAAAAAATTAAATCTCATATTAAATTTAAATTTCCAATAAATACATAAATTAATGACAGTAAAATTATTTTTTAAATAACATTATACAATATTTAAAACTATAATAAAAAAAAAAAAACTCAAACTAGTAACTTAATTATCATACAGTCCTAGGCCCGTATTACTTGCACTCGAGTACACACACTTGAGAGTCGAGTTTCGTTTATTAATCAGTGTGGCACTCATTTGATATCGAAAACCTAAACTGCATCTTGAGATATGTTTATTAATAAAATCATAACCTCAAGATTGTACTCAAGTGTGTACTTGAGCTGAGTAACGTTTATTAATACGGGCCCTACTCCCTTTGAGTTCCTTTAGAAACTTGACTGCACATGGACCCCACGGATTATTTGAAATTGATTAATAGAACAATAGTTAAATTATAATACATAATACTAATTGACTTTTAGTATTAAATTTTTGTAAACTATTTTATAACTGAATATGCCCTTTTATAGTCAGGTTTTGATTAAATTATTTACAGATGGATCCAGACCATCATCAGCTTTATCATCACGATCAGATGGTGACAGCACAGAGGTAATTTCAATATATTGTATAGCCTGTGTTAATGTTGGCCAACATTAACTTATTTGTCATATTATGTAATTTGAACTTATTTTAAATTCCTAACATTTGCGTTGTGGGTGCGTTGCAGCAACCATGTTTATGGGGGATTGAGGATAAATCGCACTTTCATAGATTGACACTGCAAAATGTATGAAATTAACAATCAGTGATTTTATGTTATTATATGATTCTTATGGTGGAGTTCATGACGAACAGTTATAACTGTGTCCTTAACATGAGATGTGTAACTAAAGTCCTCTTGCTTTGATTATGTACTAACTGCATAATACAACATCTAAGACAACTGACTTTTGAAACAACTAAGGGAATATATAGGTTATGTGGCTGTAAAGCAATAAATTTGTAGCTGATTGTTATAATTCTTGGTTGCCACTTGGTTGGTTACTTAAATGTAACTTTATGTTTCTAATAGCTTATGATACTACTTATGAATTCTAATACTCAATTTTTAACATTGTTCAGTGCTCCCACTCTTCTACGGTCACTACTGGAAATGTTGCACGGGTATGACCTTATTTCTATTTTTATCTAAGTTTAGGATTACAGAGCGTACATCCACTATTGTGTACCAGTTTAATAGTAAGAGAACCAAGAGTGGTAATCCATAGTAAGCTCTACATAGTAATAATTTATTGAATATAGATTTAACAAGTTATGCAAGAGCATGATATAAGAATATTTGAATATTGTTAATGAATAAAGGCATTAGATGTAGTAAGCGTCATTAAAGGGCAATAACCTATCATACTCCAACCTCCGTCAAAAAATTACATTATTACCATTTTTCTTTTGGGACCCGTCGTATTCAAATCCATTTATTGCGAGATTTAACCATGGCTTTATATATTTGAATTATACAGACCGGGGACTGTAAGAGCATTATTTAAGTTGCAAAATATCTGGCATTACAAACGCATATCTGCCTGAGAAACCTGCAGTATTAAAGTTGTAAGACATCTAGTATTTGAAGCGCCAATCCTGCAGCATTAAAGTTGCATGACATCAAGTATTTCAAGCGCCAATCCTGCAACATTAAAGTTGCAAGACAACTAGTATTGCAAGCGCTAATACAGCAGCATTAAAGTTGTAAAAAATCTGGTATGGCGCTTGCAGCGCAAGTTGCAAGACATCTAGTATTGCAAGCGCCAATCTAACAGCATTAAAGTAGTAGAAAATCTAGTATTATAAGCGCCAATCCTGCAGTATTAAAGTTGCAAGACATCTATTATTGCAAGCGCCAATCCTTCTGTGAAGTCTGGCAATTGCGGTAAACACTAACTAAGCTGGGGACTGTTTACGAGTTAAGAGGACGAAAATTGAGTGTTTATCAGTATATTAATCTTATATATACGGTACAATAGTAAAGGCATAATAAAAATGAAAATTTTAAGGCTGATAAAGTATTACAGTTAAACACTACATTGGATCTAAAAATAACTTAACGATCTTAATGAATCTAAAAATAACTAAAAAAACAAATTTTACAAGAACTTAATAAATTTAAAAATTACGCATTATTATGATGGTTATAATAATAAAATATGCAATATTGTGGTTGCAACACCGAGATGAAGGGGAAATAACACTACAGTTTCCTTTATACAACGTGCAGCAACAATGGTGACTTTAATTTAACACTTTTTTTTATTTTATGTTATTAGTGCTTGTGTAAACTTGTGATCGTGATGGCAAATACACATCCGGACTACACAGCAGCTGAATATACGGACATGATCCTAATTTACGGAGAATGTCGTTAAAATGCCCCCCATGCGATAAGGACATATCGCGAGAGATATAGCGATTCAAGACAATGCCCTTCTCATCCTCGCACTATTGTAGGAGCTATTCAGCGCATCCGCGAAAACCGGCCAGTGGATCCTAGGTCTCAATGCCCTGATCGATCGCCTACACGACAAAACGCAATCCAGTTAACTGAAAATGTGATACAATATTTCGAAGACCAACTCAAAACTAGCCTCCGCCAGAGCGCTAGGCATTTTCAAGTACATCACAGAACCGTCCATAGGATATTAAAGCGCGAAAAGTGGCACCCATTCAAGTTCAGAAAAGTACACACTGCAATCGCGTGATAAATTAATAAGATTGAACTATTGTCAGTGGTTACTGAGTAAAATTGAAGAGGACAGTGACTTTCTTTCCCAAATTTGTTGGACTGACGAAAGCACGTTCACCAGAAACGACACGTTGAACCAGCACAATCTGCACCATTGGGCACCCAAAACCAAAACCCGCGCGTTTGGCGGGAGTCAGCCCATCAGTACAGATTTTCGGTAAATGTTTGGGCAGCTATTAACTGTGACAATATCATCGGACCCGTATTCATTGATGGGGCTTTGAACTGAGAAAGGTTTATTAATCTACTAAATGATACGGTGTCAGAATACACAAACAACCTAAACGTTCATCGATACCAACGAATGTGGTACCAATTAGATGGCGTGCCAGCACACTGTAACAACAGCCAGGCAGTGGCTAAATGACACGTTTGGTGCACCATGGATTGGTAGATTTGGACCTCGTAGATGGCCAGCAAGATCGCCAGATCTCACACCACTCGATATTTTTTTCTGGGGGTGCATCAAAGACGATGTTTACGCGGAGAACGTGGATTCGGTGGAACAATTACGTCATCGAATAATAAACGCGTTTGAGAAATTGAGGGAAATGGCTATAAGTGACAATTTATTTTCAAATGTGCGGGTAAACATTTTTTTATAGGATAGGGTGACAAACGATTACACAATCCACCTGATGGTAAGTGGTTGCTGTGGTCCATAGACATCTACATTTATCCTTGTTTGCGAATCATAATGCAGACGTGTTGTCACCCGTGAGGCCTCTTTTCCAGTAAAAAGGGTCAACATGAAACGCCGTTTAGCTCTTTGTATCCGCCAACACGGTGGTCTCGTTGAAAATAAGAAAATTTAAAATGAACACAAAAGCAGTGATTAGTGATGACAGTTATAACTAATAGTAACAAGAGATGGTGATATGATAAGTGTTTGACTAAGCACGTCTGCTGTAAGTACTCTCCGCCGCCGCTCGGTTTCTTTGATAATAAGCCGTGTTTTTTTTTTTGATAACAAGACGCGTTGCGCGGTTTGCAGCGCGTGAAGCGACTCGTTGCCGCTCGGAGTTAACGTAAGCCAGCTAGGTACGAGAGGCACACTAAAATGTTCGGGAATAGAATATTTCGGATTGAGTTACAATAAAATCTTTTTTAGAATTTGAATACTGGCCTCTTAGAATCTTAATGACATTCAAACAAAAAAAAGTTTAAAAACAAAAACTATGTTGGTTTAAAATTGACACCTCGTTAACAGAAATGGAGCTCACGCGTGAACATTTCCGTGCCATAATTTATCTCAATTTTCGTCGCGGCTTATCTCAAGATAAATGTCTCAGCGAACTTGTTTTGATTTATGATGTTGAAGCACCGAGTCTAACGACAATATACCGCTGGTATGCCGAGTTCCGACGCGGTCGTGTGTCGCTCAGCACTGTTTCTTCTTCAGATCGACCAAGAAGAGCGGTCACGCCTGTAAACATCGCAGCCATTGAGTTATATGTACTACGTACTAGAGAAACCATTCCAAACATTGACTATGTTCAACTGAACTGTACTGCAATCCGTACAAACTAAATATTGCGTAAATTGAAGATTTGTGAATTCCATAAAATAATTATTATTACATTTTATTTAGAAATGTGTTTGTTTAGATTAAATTAAGATATTTTATAATAAATTCTTATATTTATTTTATATTAAATTAAAGTCTTCGCGCATTCGCGACTACTACTCCCGCGCATGCGCGAAGACATAGAGTAGGACACAATTTTTGTTTGGAATGGCTTCTCTAGTACGTAGTACATATAACTCAATGATCGCAGCTGTGCGAACTATAATATTAGATGACCATCATGTGACATACGAGCAGATTCGGGCTGTTATCAGTATCGGAATGACTGCAATTCAGTCGATATTACATAATGAGCTGTGTGTAAGAAAGCTAGTTTCCCGCTGGGTTCCCCACAATTTGTCCGAAGAGCAAACGGCTGCTTGTGTAGATTGGTGCCGGAATACTCTGCAACGCTTCAACGGAGGGAAGTCAAATGCCGTTTTTAATATCGTCTCAGGTGACGAATCATGGATTTATTCATACGAACCTGAAAGAAAACATCAGTCAGCAGTTTGGGTCTTCGAAGACGAGGTCAAACCAACGAAAGTGGTTCGCTCCCGCAGCTTGTCAAAGAAAATGGTCGATAAGTTTGTCTCGAAAAAGGGGCATGTTGCTACAATTCCTTTACAGGAACGCAGAACGGTTACCGCTGAGTGGTATATCACGGTTTGTTTGCCAGAAATGATAGCTGAACTCCGAAAAAATAACCCGAAACGCCGCATCATCTTACATCACGATAATGCGAGCTCCCATACGACTCTGAAGACAAATGATTTTTTTGAAGCAGGAAAACGTTGAGCTGATGAGCCATCCTCCCTACAGTCCTGACCTGAGCCCAAACGATTTCTTTACATTCCCTAGAATGAAAGATTTATTACGCGGTCAACGGTTTGAAGACCCCGAAGCAGCTGTGGAAGCGTACAAATCAGCCATTTTGTCAACATCAATTTCAGACTGGAATTACTGTTTTAATGATTGGTTTGCACGAATGGAAAAGTGCATCAAGTTGAACGGAGAATACTTCGAAAAACAATAAAATACAATTTAGCTATACCGTGCATGTGGTTTTTCTTATTCCCGATCATTTCAGTGTGCCACTCGTAAGTAATTTCATGAATGAATTTTTGCAAGGGTGATCCCAATTTTAGTAACTTTTTTATTATAAAGTTTGTTTGAAAAATATATTTTTTTTTTAATATTTACGAGGTATTTTAACCTATCAAAATTAATATGATAAATGGGCACTAGCCTTACCTGTGTGTTAAATTAAAGTCAACATTGTATACAAAAGTTGGCACAAGTTTTGATTGCTGACAAATTTTGGTGGGACCAGCAAAACTACAAATGAAAGCCTAAAATATGTGGTTTTGTCAGGGTGTTGTCTGTTTTGTTTGCGGTATGACTGTGTTATGAATATGCCCGTCCTTAACTTGCTTTCTACACCAGTTTCGATCTTATTGTATAAGCGAAGCATTGGTCAGTTGTAGGTCATTACCGTTCTGAGCCTCCGTGTTTACACCATACACTTATGGCATTATAACTTTCTATATATATCTATCTAGCTATCGCAGTGTTTAAAAATTAGTCGTGTATACATTAAAATTAAATGCATATAATATATTATAATAGTATGTAATATTTGAAGAAACTGCCAGAATACACTTCTTTGTTTGGAATACTTTTTTTTTCTAAGTGTTGAACAATAAATTTGCAGCAAAAGTATAGGTGGCAATATTGCTTGACTATAGTTTCAGAAACATTAACAGCAAGCCCGGTTATGTCATATACTCGAAGGAATTCATGAATATTGCGACCAAAACCTAAAATGAATTTAAACGGTCACAAAAATAATGTTATTTTTAATAAATTTTTTGCATGTTGAATGCGCTTGAAGTGAAATGTTTAGTATGAAAGCAAAATTCATGTCGTCGTGTTTGTATACGTATAATTCTTAAAGTTTGTGGGTATGTGTGTACAGTCTGGGTCGGCGCCGAGTATACGCGGGCGGCGATCGACGACGGAGATGTCGTCGCCGCTGCTGCGGGCGCCGCTGGAGCGCGGCTGGCGGCGCGAGCTCGTGTACCGCGCCGCGCTCGACGCGCACTCGCGCCGCAACGCCGACATCTACTACTACACGCCGCACGGCAAGAAGCTGCGCTCCACCAGGGAGGTACGTAGTGCCGCACCGCACCGCACCGCGCCGCAACGCCGACATCTACTACTACACGCCGCACGGCAAGAAGCTGCGCTCCACCAGGGAGGTACGTAGTGCCGCACCGCACCGCACCGCGCCGCAACGCCGACATCTACTACTACACGCCGCACGGCAAGAAGCTGCGCTCCACCAGGGAGGTACGTAGTGCCGCACCGCACCGCGCCGCAACGCCGACATCTACTACTACACGCCGCACGGCAAGAAGCTGCGCTCCACCAGGGAGGTACGTAGTGCCGCACCGCACCGCACCGCGCCGCAACGCCGACATCTACTACTACACGCCGCACGGCAAGAAGCTGCGCTCCACCAGGGAGGTACGTAGTGCCGCACCGCACCGCACCGCGCCGCAACGCCGACATCTACTACTACACGCCGCACGGCAAGAAGCTGCGCTCCACCAGGGAGGTACGTAGTGCCGCACCGCACCGCACCGCGCCGCAACGCCGACATCTACTACTACACGCCGCACGGCAAGAAGCTGCGCTCCACCAGGGAGGTACGTAGTGCCGCACCGCACCGCACCGCGCCGCAACGCCGACATCTACTACTACACGCCGCACGGCAAGAAGCTGCGCTCCACCAGGGAGGTACGTAGTGCCGCACCGCACCGCGCCGCAACGCCGACATCTACTACTACACGCCGCACGGCAAGAAGCTGCGCTCCACCAGGGAGGTACGTAGTGCCGCACCGCACCGCACCGCGCCGCAACGCCGACATCTACTACTACACGCCGCACGGCAAGAAGCTGCGCTCCACCAGGGAGGTACGTAGTGCCGCACCGCACCGCACCGCGCCGCAACGCCGACATCTACTACTACACGCCGCACGGCAAGAAGCTGCGCTCCACCAGGGAGGTACGTAGTGCCGCACCGCACCGCACCGCGCCGCAACGCCGACATCTACTACTACACGCCGCACGGCAAGAAGCTGCGCTCCACCAGGGAGGTACGTAGTGCCGCACCGCACCGCACCGCGCCGCAACGCCGACATCTACTACTACACGCCGCACGGCAAGAAGCTGCGCTCCACCAGGGAGGTACGTAGTGCCGCACCGCACCGCACCGCGCCGCAACGCCGACATCTACTACTACACGCCGCACGGCAAGAAGCTGCGCTCCACCAGGGAGGTACGTAGTGCCGCACCGCACCGCACCGCGCCGCAACGCCGACATCTACTACTACACGCCGCACGGCAAGAAGCTGCGCTCCACCAGGGAGGTACGTAGTGCCGCACCGCACCGCACCGCGCCGCAACGCCGACATCTACTACTACACGCCGCTCGGCAAGAAGCTGCGCTCCACCAGGGAGGTACGTAGTGCCGCACCGCACCGCGCCGCAACGCCGACATCTACTACTACACGCCGCACGGCAAGAAGCTGCGCTCCACCAGGGAGGTACGTAGTGCCGCACCGCACCGCGCCGCAACGCCGACATCTACTACTACACGCCGCACGGCAAGAAGCTGCGCTCCACCAGGGAGGTACGTAGTGCCGCACCGCACCGCACCGCGCCGCAACGCCGACATCTACTACTACACGCCGCACGGCAAGAAGCTGCGCTCCACCAGGGAGGTACGTAGTGCCGCACCGCACCGCGCCGCAACGCCGACATCTACTACTACACGCCGCACGGCAAGAAGCTGCGCTCCACCAGGGAGGTACGTAGTGCCGCACCGCACCGCACCGCGCCGCAACGCCGACATCTACTACTACACGCCGCACGGCAAGAAGCTGCGCTCCACCAGGGAGGTACGTAGTGCCGCACCGCACCGCACCGCGCCGCAACGCCGACATCTACTACTACACGCCGCACGGCAAGAAGCTGCGCTCCACCAGGGAGGTACGTAGTGCCGCACCGCACCGCACCGCGCCGCAACGCCGACATCTACTACTACACGCCGCACGGCAAGAAGCTGCGCTCCACCAGGGAGGTACGTAGTGCCGCACCGCACCGCACCGCGCCGCAACGCCGACATCTACTACTACACGCCGCACGGCAAGAAGCTGCGCTCCACCAGGGAGGTACGTAGTGCCGCACCGCACCGCACCGCGCCGCAACGCCGACATCTACTACTACACGCCGCACGGCAAGAAGCTGCGCTCCACCAGGGAGGTACGTAGTGCCGCACCGCACCGCACCGCGCCGCAACGCCGACATCTACTACTACACGCCGCACGGCAAGAAGCTGCGCTCCACCAGGGAGGTACGTAGTGCCGCACCGCACCGCACCGCGCCGCAACGCCGACATCTACTACTACACGCCGCTCGGCAAGAAGCTGCGCTCCACCAGGGAGGTACGTAGTGCCGCACCGCACCGCGCCGCAACGCCGACATCTACTACTACACGCCGCACGGCAAGAAGCTGCGCTCCACCAGGGAGGTACGTAGTGCCGCACCGCACCGCGCCGCAACGCCGACATCTACTACTACACGCCGCACGGCAAGAAGCTGCGCTCCACCAGGGAGGTACGTAGTGCCGCACCGCACCGCGCCGCAACGCCGACATCTACTACTACACGCCGCACGGCAAGAAGCTGCGCTCCACCAGGGAGGTACGTAGTGCCGCACCGCACCGCACCGCGCCGCAACGCCGACATCTACTACTACACGCCGCACGGCAAGAAGCTGCGCTCCACCAGGGAGGTACGTAGTGCCGCACCGCACCGCACCGCGCCGCAACGCCGACATCTACTACTACACGCCGCACGGCAAGAAGCTGCGCTCCACCAGGGAGGTACGTAGTGCCGCACCGCACCGCACCGCGCCGCAACGCCGACATCTACTACTACACGCCGCACGGCAAGAAGCTGCGCTCCACCAGGGAGGTACGTAGTGCCGCACCGCACCGCACCGCGCCGCAACGCCGACATCTACTACTACACGCCGCACGGCAAGAAGCTGCGCTCCACCAGGGAGGTACGTAGTGCCGCACCGCACCGCACCGCGCCGCAACGCCGACATCTACTACTACACGCCGCACGGCAAGAAGCTGCGCTCCACCAGGGAGGTACGTAGTGCCGCACCGCACCGCGCCGCAACGCCGACATCTACTACTACACGCCGCACGGCAAGAAGCTGCGCTCCACCAGGGAGGTACGTAGTGCCGCACCGCACCGCGCCGCAACGCCGACATCTACTACTACACGCCGCACGGCAAGAAGCTGCGCTCCACCAGGGAGGTACGTAGTGCCGCACCGCACCGCGCCGCAACGCCGACATCTACTACTACACGCCGCACGGCAAGAAGCTGCGCTCCACCAGGGAGGTACGTAGTGCCGCACCGCACCGCACCGCGCCGCAACGCCGACATCTACTACTACACGCCGCACGGCAAGAAGCTGCGCTCCACCAGGGAGGTACGTAGTGCCGCACCGCACCGCACCGCGCCGCAACGCCGACATCTACTACTACACGCCGCACGGCAAGAAGCTGCGCTCCACCAGGGAGGTACGTAGTGCCGCACCGCACCGCACCGCGCCGCAACGCCGACATCTACTACTACACGCCGCACGGCAAGAAGCTGCGCTCCACCAGGGAGGTACGTAGTGCCGCACCGCACCGCACCGCGCCGCAACGCCGACATCTACTACTACACGCCGCACGGCAAGAAGCTGCGCTCCACCAGGGAGGTACGTAGTGCCGCACCGCACCGCACCGCGCCGCAACGCCGACATCTACTACTACACGCCGCACGGCAAGAAGCTGCGCTCCACCAGGGAGGTACGTAGTGCCGCACCGCACCGCACCGCGCCGCAACGCCGACATCTACTACTACACGCCGCACGGCAAGAAGCTGCGCTCCACCAGGGAGGTACGTAGTGCCGCACCGCACCGCGCCGCAACGCCGACATCTACTACTACACGCCGCACGGCAAGAAGCTGCGCTCCACCAGGGAGGTACGTAGTGCCGCACCGCACCGCGCCGCAACGCCGACATCTACTACTACACGCCGCACGGCAAGAAGCTGCGCTCCACCAGGGAGGTACGTAGTGCCGCACCGCACCGCGCCGCAACGCCGACATCTACTACTACACGCCGCACGGCAAGAAGCTGCGCTCCACCAGGGAGGTACGTAGTGCCGCACCGCACCGCACCGCGCCGCAACGCCGACATCTACTACTACACGCCGCACGGCAAGAAGCTGCGCTCCACCAGGGAGGTACGTAGTGCCGCACCGCACCGCACCGCGCCGCAACGCCGACATCTACTACTACACGCCGCACGGCAAGAAGCTGCGCTCCACCAGGGAGGTACGTAGTGCCGCACCGCACCGCACCGCGCCGCAACGCCGACATCTACTACTACACGCCGCACGGCAAGAAGCTGCGCTCCACCAGGGAGGTACGTAGTGCCGCACCGCACCGCACCGCGCCGCAACGCCGACATCTACTACTACACGCCGCACGGCAAGAAGCTGCGCTCCACCAGGGAGGTACGTAGTGCCGCACCGCACCGCACCGCGCCGCAACGCCGACATCTACTACTACACGCCGCACGGCAAGAAGCTGCGCTCCACCAGGGAGGTACGTAGTGCCGCACCGCACCGCACCGCGCCGCAACGCCGACATCTACTACTACACGCCGCACGGCAAGAAGCTGCGCTCCACCAGGGAGGTACGTAGTGCCGCACCGCACCGCGCCGCAACGCCGACATCTACTACTACACGCCGCACGGCAAGAAGCTGCGCTCCACCAGGGAGGTACGTAGTGCCGCACCGCACCGCGCCGCAACGCCGACATCTACTACTACACGCCGCACGGCAAGAAGCTGCGCTCCACCAGGGAGGTACGGAGTGCCGCACCGCACCGCACCGCGCCGCAACGCCGACATCTACTACTACACGCCGCACGGCAAGAAGCTGCGCTCCACCAGGGAGGTACGTAGTGCCGCACCGCACCGCACCGCGCCGCAACGCCGACATCTACTACTACACGCCGCACGGCAAGAAGCT